TACTACTAAAATTACATTCCATGTATTCAGTTTTAGTTCACTTAAAATGAAGGCATTTAGACTCCAATGTAGACCTCCATAATTCAAGTTTTCCTTGGCTTTTTCTCTCGTTTAATTCACGAGAAGGATATCATCAACAAAAGACATACACCAAGGTACATCCTCCTGTAGATGTCCAGTGAGACCATCCATAACTATAGCAAAAAGATATGGCCTAAAGCCGATCCTTGATGCAATCCAACAAAAATAGGAAAATATTTAGTCAATCCTCCTTCAGTTTGAACACAAGTAACAACTCTAATAAACATATCTTTAATGACTTGAATATAAGTCATATCAACACCTTTCTTCTCAAGAACTCTCCAAAGGATATCTCTTGGAATCTTATCGTAAGCTTTTTCTAAACCAATAAAAATCAAATGTAGATTCTCCTTATTGTCTCTGAACTTCTCCATCAAACCTCTCAATAAATGTATAGCTTCCATAGTAGACCTGCCCAACATAAATCCAAATTGATTATGAGAAATCTTTGTAATGCGTCTGAACCTATGCTCAATTACCCTCTCCCATAACTTTAAAGTATGACACATCAACTTAATTCCTCTATAATTTGCACACTCTTGTGCATCCTCTTTATTCTTAAAAATGGGGACCAAAATACTCTTCCTCCACTCCTTAGACATTTTTTTAGTTTTTAAAATAATATTAAAGAGTTTAGTAAGCCAAGAAACTCTCAAATCTCTTAAATATTTCCACACTTCAATTGAGATATCATCAGGTCCTACAAACTTTTCACCCTTGGTTTTCTTTAAAGCTTCTTCAACTTTTTTTTTTACTAATGCGATGGTAAAAATGAAACATTTTATTATTATTCACGATATTAAGACCACTAAGGTCGATCATATTTTTAGAAACTTCATTAAAAAGTTTATCAAAATAACTCGCTCACTTATGTTCAATATCTTTTTCTAAGAAAAGTACTTTTTGATTTTCATCTTTAATACACTTTACTTGAGTTAAATCTTTACTTTGTTGTTTGCATTTTGTTATTTGTTTGATTAAATTGTTCTTTAAGATATTTCTTAAAAAAATTGTTGTAAGAAAAAATAATTCTATCATCATCTACCATTGTAGTGTATAAGGGAGGAGTAGCAAATCTGAGAGCACCAAAATGTTTGATAAATGGTGAATTAAATGTTTGATAAATGGTGAATTCGAGCATCATTGGATGCAATGAAGCAAGGGCTAGATAATTGTAATCGAGTTTAGCTAATTGGGGAAGATTAATTGGAAAACATGAAAAATAATGGAGAGAGAATATCTTGGCGTTTTGCAGGCCGTGGCCATAAGCCACTTGAAACCTTATTTCCCCACAAACTCTCGTCATCATTGTTTGAGCAGAACATGATAGGTCTCCATGTTTCAAACTAATTGCCTAATCAAAACCAATTAAATCAATACATTTGTTCCTCATAAAGAACTGTCAGAATTTAATAGGGTACTTATTTCATGTACCTGTAAAAACATCCTTCACTAAAATATAATTCTTCAATTTTGCTGATGCATGATGAGGTCGTAGTTGCCGCTCACACTCAGTGGCATCACGGCTCTGTTGTCGATGATGTCTTCATGGGTTGTATCATTAAATGCTCACGGTTTCAATCTAATGATCGTGAAAATCCTTATTGTGAGAAGAGCAGCCCACAAGCGTTCTGTGGATTGCTATCTCAATTTGATTTTATTTTACTGAATTCAATTATCATTTTCATGCGATATGTATAGAACTCTTATATCTTTCTGTTTGTTTTTAACCGTACTGTTTATATTTGCATGTATTGATTGAGCTGGTAGAAATTATTGCTTTGTTTCTGTAGGAATGGGCTGTCTTCTCAGCAGAAGAAATTCTCATTTTTTGATGCTACACAAGATGACACACAAGTTTCTCGAGAAGAAAGAGCATTTCGTTTGTGGATGAATAGTCTGGGAATTTCAACATACATCAACAATGTGTTTGAGGATCTTAGAGACGGGTAAGTTAATTATTTTTCTTTGCCAAGAATTCTGATAAATTGGTTAGCATGAATTTTCCTTGAAGGGATGTATTAGCATGTGCATCAATCATGTGGCATTGCAGGTGGATTCTTCTTGAGGCCATTGAAAAATCATCCCCTGGAATTGTTTCTTGGAAGATTGCAAATAAGCCCCCCATCAGAATGCCGTTCAGAAAAGTTGAAAACTGTAATCAAGTTGTGAAGATTGGCAAACAACTGAAATTTTCACTAGTCAATGTTGCTGGAAACGACATTGTGCAAGGGAATAATAAACTTATCCTTGGTATGCTGCTTACACCAATGCCTCAAGTCTTTTTGGTTTAAGCATATCTACATATAATTAGATCAAACGTTTTTGGCACTAAATTTTGACTGTTATCCCTGCCTAGTTTTTACTTTTGGAAGGATTTAGTGTCTTTTTGTGGTTCTTTATGAATTTTCATCCTTTGATTGCTCGTGCTAAAATTTTACACACATAATTTTTTGAACTTCTGCCTGACTTGCATTCAATCAATCCTTCTTTCCTTGAAAATCTTTAAACATAAATTTTATCCATGCATGTTATTGTTATATCTTTTAACTACATTGTACAAGCCCAAATTAAACTCTAATTTTTACTCTTTTTTTTCAATACATGAGAATGCATCAAGCCTATTGTGGTGTGATAGAAAAGTAAAAAGTACCACTTAGACTGAGAGGAAAAATTTAATAAGATGGTGGCGAGACTTGCAATGCTTTATGGCGCAGAATGTTGGCCTATAAAAGAAAAGTATAAAACAAAGTTAAGTGTTGCTGAGATTTGAATGCTTAGGTTGATGAGTGGCTTGACAATTAGAGACAAAATGTGAAATGAATATCCGTGATAGCGTTGGTGTAACTCTAGTGGCGGAAACGATTAGAGAGAGTCGTCTTAGATGATTTGGTCACAATAAACGCTGATCATCTGTGATCCTGTTAGGAGAGTAGATGTTTTAAATTCAACTTGTTAAGAAAGACAGAGGCAGGCCTAGAAAGATTTGGGCATGTTGTATAGAAAATGATCTTAATCTATTAGAATTAAATGAAAATATGACACTCAATAGGATGTCATGGAGAAAAATGATTCATGTAGTCGGCCCCACTTAGTGGGATAAAGATAAAGGCTTGTTGTTTGTTGTTTTTTTTTCAATAACTGCTTTACCCATTATCTGACCCATGCCGCTACTTTAATTATTTTAAATTCATGCTCTTTACTTATCAACATATCCTCTATAACATTACCATATCTTTGTCAGTCTTGTTTAGCTATATAAATTTATTTCGTTTTTTTGAGCCATTTTTTATTACAATTTTAAGAACATGAAACAGCGTACGCTATGGATCATGAAATTACCATTCATGTCCTAATCATATTTTTTTTTCCAGCATTTTTGTGGCAATTAATGAGGTACAACATCCTTCAACTTTTAAAGAACTTGAGATCCAATTCTTGTGAAAAAGACATCACTGATATAGATATATTGAATTGGGCCAATACTAAAGTGAAAGATTCCGGAAGGCAATCATGCATGAAAAGTTTTAAGGTACGCATCTTCTCTTATATTTTCACTATAAGTTCTGTCATTTTGCTTGAGCAAGAAGCAAAATTTATAAATGGACAGCCATTCATGTTATACTTTACCAAATTAAAGTGATGCAATATAACATGATCAATAAAATATTAGAAGAAAGAAAATAAATATTTTAATCTTTAGCTAAATGTTTGTGTAAAGAGTAGCATCCAAACTGCTAACAGCCTAACTATTTTGAGCATTAAGATCAACGATCAAGTCTTGATGCTGTCTGCTTCTATTATTAATGATGAAAAATACCCTTATATTTGCCCATTATTCTTGTCTTCCAATGTTTCGGTGGGAAATTTAAAATCATCAGGATGCTTAAACCCGTAATGTATTAATACTTAGTTTTTCTTTATAAAAAATTATCATGATTAGCTATTTTAATCACAGAAAATAGTGATTTAATTTTTTTCATTAGTGTTTCTTACTTAGTCATTTCTTGTTAATTTTTGCTCTTTAATGTTTAACATTGGCTTTTTGTTTCAGGTATATTATTGTAGGTTGCCTTATTTTTTTCAGCCTGCTCTTTTTACTGCACCCTATTTTCTTATTGGATTTCTGCTTAAATGTTCTTCTGTTCTTATCTAAAAAGTGCATTTCCATCATATTAAAACTTATGTGGTTAATGTAGTTCTTAAACATTCAGGACAAAAATCTTTCAACTGGAATTTTTTTCCTTGAATTGCTAAGTGCCGTGGAACCTCGAGTAGTGAACTGGAGCCTTGTAACCAAAGGAGAGAATGGTACTTAACCAGGCATTTGGTGAATTCTTTCCATTACTGACTATTTCATGTTCAAGTGTTTGGCTATTTATACGTTCAAATTTTGTGTACTGCAATATTTTTCCACGTTCTTGCTAGAAAAGATGGCTAATCTTGCACTTCGTTTCCATCTGGTTATCCATTTTTTCCCTATCCTCTATCTGAAGCCACGTGTTTTTAGTCCTTCATCTTAAATTTTTGGGGGATTTAAATACAATACATACATATCACTCAAAAAGTTAGAATTCATATATTTAACACCTAAAATTCACTACTTACATATATAGTACCCCGTTAACTTCCTTGACTTCTCTCAACAAAAACTCATCGGATGGCGGCGGCAAAGTGGCGAGGCCAGCAGCAGCTTCAAAGGTTGCTAGGTGGCTTTATTTATTTTGATATTTTGACTGCTCTATATGTAAATAATAAAATTTTAGTGTCGAATATGTAAATCCCGGAGATATGTAAATCCCGGAGTCATTCGAATATGTAAATCCCGGAGTCATTTAAACTTGGATGTATTTGAGCATTTTAGTCCTTTTTTTCTGGTGAGCATGTAATTAACTATCTAGAAACAATACAGAGGCTGAGAGAAAGATGAATGCCTCTTATATCATCTCAGTGGCGAGAAAACTTGGCTGCTCCATCTTTTTATTACCAGAAGACATACTAGAGGTAAGTTTCTCTATCAAAATTTCTGTCAAATTTGCTTCAGAAGCTTTTGTGTAGCTCATCCATGTCAATCCAACAGGTGAATCAGAAGATGATGCTGACCCTTGCGGCAAGCATTATGTATTGGCACTCCAATAAACCATCTGAAGATAAATATTTGGCTTCCAATATTGAAATTTTATCCAACAATACAGTTGATGACTCTGCTTCAGGTTTCAGCAGATGATGCAGATAACTACAGTTTCACTTGGTTTCTGTATGTACATTCTGCAATTTGCACCCCTTTCCTTCAATTATGTTGTGTTCATAGTGACATCCTACTGATAATTTGGAAATAGCTTTGGCTTTGCTTACTGGGAGCTGTATGATGATGGCAAGAAAAAAATACTGTTAATTTGAATGCTAACAAAGTATTAATTGTTTAGTTTAGCATTGTTATAATTTTGATTTGGGTTTTGTTAGGATTGTAATAATATTTATTTAATCTTTTTGCATGGATGAATTTTGCCAAAGCAAAGAGCTGAAACCATTCCAAAATGTTTATATTGGTGTGCTTAATTTTGTTCAGTTTCACTAATTATAAGCAATGTTTATAAGTAAACAATTGGTTCATTCATCAGGTGAGGTGAGGTGTATGTGCAATCGGGCACCTAATGTGTTTTTCATTCGTGAGGTGAGGTGTAAGGCTCATAATGTTTTTGAGGCATAGGCCTCAATTTTTAAAAAAATTGCGTCAATTAATAAAATTTGTATAAATTATAAAATGTGAATTAAGAATAATATATAAAATTTTAAATTATTATCATATTAAAAAGTAATATAGCAGTATTTTACTAAGTAAAAAAAGTGTTAAATTGTATAAAAGTAAAGGTAATGAACTAATATCCTAATATCAGATTATGAAATCGGATGAGTAGTATAGAAACTTAATAATCAAAACTAAGATAATAATCAGACCCATTTAAGCATAAGTATTTCTCTCTTAATATTTCCACTTCCAAGTTTTCAAAAGATGTTTTTATGTATTTTGGAGTTGAGGAATGGTTGGGTTGACTCTGATGGATGGTAATATTTGATGAATGGATGCATTTGTGGCCAAGTATTTGGAAAGCCTGGGGATTGATTAGGTAGGTGGATGGTAATCATCTTTAATTAAGATCTGACGTTAACAGGATCATCATTAAAGAGAAAACGCTTGGAGATTATAGTGGTGTTTTATGCTAGGATTCCCCATTTAAAAGTCCCTCTTACTCTCATCATCCGTTTGATATTTATTAAAACTATCAATAAGATAAAGTATTTATCTCGTGTTTTATCTTTAGTTGTTGCGTATTTGAAAATTCTCAGCGACATAAATTTTATGCCTTAGTTTAAAATAACTTCTCAGCACACACGTGCAACCCATTTTTTATGTGAAAAAATTCTACAAAGTGAAAAAATTATGGGATTAATCCAGTTAAAATAATCCAATAAGAAATTGCACGCATAGAGGTTTACTATTCTCCTGAATCAAGAAAGATGAGAAAATCACAACTTTATAAAATAGTTTGTTTATAATATACATAATTAGGCTACATAACTGTAGTTGGTGGTTATAAAAATTAGAGTTGGTCGCAACATTGCTGATATGGTGGTCAATGACGACCTTTGGTGGTTAGCAATAGACTGTGATGGTCGGTGATAAAATTTTGTGACCAACAACAATCACCAAGATTTAAATGTTAAGCTTTAGTAGTTAGCTCACTCTCTTCTCTTCTCTTCTCTTTCCCCCTAAAGTAAAGAATGAGGGTTTATTTATAGTTTTTGAGATAAATATTTTGGTAAATTTAGCTAATTTCTCAAAACCCTCAACCAAATGGTTTGTTTTGATTCCCTTGATCACCTATTCATTTAAACATGTTACTAGCAGATTGGAAGAGGATTGCCTCGATGTGGAGGATGACTCTGAAGATCAGTCGATAGATGTGCTCCACCAAAATTTGAAGAAGAGATTAAGTCAACAGCTGATGAATTGAAAGAAATCAACCTCGGGGTTGAGTTGAGGAGCAGCCTCGACATACCTTTATAAGTTCGCTATTCAGCGAGGAAGAACTGATGAATTGAAAGAAATCAACCTCGGGGTTGAGGAGCAGCCTCGGCATACCTTTATAAGTTCGCTATTCAGCGAGGAAGAATCCACAAAATTGATAAAGTTATTGTCAGAATTTAAAGATTGTTTCGCCTGGAGCTATGATCAAATATCAGGGCTATCAACAGAAGTTGCAGTTCATAAGCATAGGGTGGACAAAGATATGAACCCAGTGAAATAAGTTCCTAGAAGGATGCACCTCGAAATATAGCAGTAAGTCATTGCTGAGGTAAAGAAGTTAATAAATCCTAACTTTGTGCAGGAAGAGCAGAACCCCACATGGTTAGCCAACATTGTGCCAGTTAAGAAAAATAATGGAAAAAATTGTATTTGTGTCAACTTCTGGGATTTAAATAAAGCATGTCCAAAGGATGAATTTTTGTTACAATATCAGAGTTGATGGTGCACATCACTTCGAAGCATGGGATTTTTTCTTTCATGGATGGATCGTAAGGTTACAACCAAATCAAGAGGGCTCAAGTAGATGTTGCGCTTACAGCTTTTAGTATGCAGTTTGGGATTTTATGCTACACAGTAATGTCATTTGGGTAGAAGAACGTCGTAGCAACATATCAACAAGCTATGACAAAGATCTTTGATGACCTCATTCACAAGCAAGTGGAATGCTACATGATGATTTATTCATCAAAAGTATACAGAGAGTAGACCATTTCTATAATTTGAGGGTCGTGTTAGAACGATTACATCAATATAATCTCAAGATGAATCTTTTAAAGTGCGCATTCGATATCAACTTCGGGAAATTTTTAAGATTCATTGTTCGTCATCGGGGAACCGAGATCAACCCATATAAGATTAAAGCTATCTTGGAAATGCCTCCTCCCAAAACCTTGAGACAACTACGTTTCTTTCAGTGAAAGTTGGCATGCCTGAGACACTTATTTCTAATCTCTCAGGTAGGTGTCAGTACTTCTCAGCATTAATTAAAAAGAACTCCAAATTCGTTTGGGAAGAGAAATGCTAGTGGACCTTTGAGGACGTTAAGCAATTTTGAGCTCTGTCAAATTTCTCTCAGAAAGCCTCTAAGCACTCCTAAGCTCAAGCCAACCATTTTCCCCCTCTGAATCCCTCTATGAGAGCTCAATTTTGAGTTCAAAATCTAGGGGTTTTCTGTCACTTGATCTTAACCTTTTGAAACTCTAAATTGACTCTTCCTTTAGCTTCCCTAAGCTAAACAAAGAAGTTTTCCATCAAAACCCCTTGGTCCCGAGCAATCTAACCCACCTCTAGACTAAGGCCTGTCCACCTTTTCACAGAAGTCCTAACTAGACCCTATTTCAACTCAAATTAACACTTGGATGAGGTTCGTCAGCTCATAAGGAAGTTTCCACAAGTACCCAATTGAGGTCTCACCTCTTGGGCAAAGGTATAGACCATTAAACTTAATTTTGAGCTCAGTTTCACCAATTGTGAAGAGAACTTTTATTTCATAGCATTGTAACCATATAGATGTGCTCGTCTTGAGTAGATAAAGGATTAGGAACAAACCCCATATGATTTGGTTGAGTATCGAGAGAGATCTTAGGGTTTGAAGTTGAATGGCTTACGGGTTTATTGATTTATTTAGGATTTATTGATTTAAATAAATGTCAGAACTTCAAAAATTCATATCCTTGCATAGAAATATCATAAAAATAAAATGAAAATACTCTCTTGGTCAGTGAACATACGAGAATAATGTGGACCAAAAATAAAAAATTATTTGATGAGTCTCTTATTTTGAATTAATTAAATTATCTGTGAGGTGTTTTAATTTTAATTGATTAAATATTATTCATCAAAGATTGAAACTTTGGAAGTTCATTCCTTATAACATAGGGGATGTTCTCTGATTTTTCCAAGGTCAGAGAGCATCTCTATGCATGTAACCCTAATTTCCAAGCTTGGATGGCTATTTTGGCTTAAAATAATTACATACATCAAAATATCACTAGGAAAATTATGGGATTAGTTTTAGTAGGTTCCCTTTGGTCAGAGAAGCTTAGGAAAATTATCAGGATAGTTTGGATAAATTTTGTATATTTTTAAAGTTAGTTAAATGCTTATAGCTTGTATTAAATTTTTTAAATTAAATATTATTAAAAAATTAATGAAATTCCACACTGTAAAGAAAAAACCATGTCGACTCACTGTAAAAATTTGAAATTTATTTGATTAAGTTTAAGTACTAAAGTTGATTTTCAAAGAAAAATTGTATTTGTACAAAAATAATTATATTAAATGAAATATACTTAAGAAAGTTATGAAAAGTGGTTTTCTGAGTTCCTTGTGATTAGGGGCTCTTAGGACAAAAAATTATTTTTGAGAAAATACTTTATTTTTAAGTTGTATTTTAAATTAAAAATAATTACAAATTGTAGAAACATGAAAATGATCTAAAGTGTGCCTAATTTTTCCTTTACTACTTAAGACTCGTTAGAATACTTTTCCTAATTTTTCTAAGTTTATAAAATTTTAAAGGCTAAAAATGTATTTTTTTCTAATTTTCTATTTAAATAATTATAATAAATAAATTAAAGTTCTCTGGACTTAGAGAGATTTAATAAAAAATATAAAAAATAATTTTTGGTAATTAAAACTTATTTAATTAGAACACATTTTCTATTTAATTGAATCATTAAAATCAATAAGTAATTATAATAATTAAAATACAACTAAAAAAATCCTGAAATTTTGTCCAAGTGTTCCTCTGACCTAAGTGAACCTCTAATAATTCTCTCATGACCAAAAGTCTTATTTTAATTAATTAAAAAAATTAATGTTGAAAAATCCTATCTTTTAAATTAAAATAGTTATATAAATTAAACAAAAATCTAAAAGACCACATCATCTCCTCTGCTATTTTAATTAACTCATGATTGAGTCTACATGGAAATTTCAAGGTCACTTGAGTTTCATTTGATTAGTTATAAGATAGGGATTCTCAGGGGCAAAATGTTAATTTTGGGATTTTAATACCTTAATTAAATTTTAGGATTAATCAAAGGGTAAATGGGTAATATTGATTATAATAAAATCTCTTGGGTGTTTGAAATATGAAGGGCTAAGAGGTAGAAACAAATTTGTCATCCTTTGCAAGATAAGGGTAAAATTATAATTTTGATAATTGTCATGATTTGGAAGATAATTCAATTAAGATGATTCTAAGGTATTGGGCTTAAGTTAAGAAAATAGTAATTCACTCATTTAAAGCCCACTAATTGATGATTAGATGCTAAGTATGATATTAATGAGGATTAGGACTTCATTTTACTTAATATTTAATTATTATAAAATTACTTTTAAATAAGAGAAAATA